GTTGCAACACGTATGTATTTTCTAGAAAGAAATGAATGGTTTAGAAAGTAAGGAAACCCGTATTTTAATTCTATTAGATTTCTAAGGTAACCCTTGAACCAAATTAGTCATATATATATGGAAACTTTAATCTGTTATCAGGAAGCATATATGTAACTGATCCATCTTGAGGGGAGAAAGGACAGTATCAGTGTTTCTTGGAACTTAAGTATCACAGAAAATGCTGGAAATAATTGAGGAAAAATAATAGTAAGATATCTTATGAATTAATAATAGTGAAATATAAATTGCTTTATTGCAAAGATGTATTATTGACCGAAAAAAAAAAGACGTCATACATATTTACAATTTATGTCCTTTTAGATGACTGGAGAAAATGACGATATCTTCAAGTTTTCAGTACGAATTACTATTATTATGTTCATATGGATCATCATTATAACTTGGAAGTTTCTGAAAGCTAAAATATCCTCATGCACAGGCATGAAACTCCCCAGGTTGAAATTCCCAATGCACATGATCACAGTGTGTGGGATCTTGCATGGCATCCTATTGGTTATCTTCTCTGCAGGTATGTATTACTTGTCTTCATAACGTGTTTTCTGTCCTTTTCTTTTTTTTTTTTTTTTTTTTTTTTTTATTAAGATCTTCCCCCTTTCAAACTTTTATGTTATAGATGTGAATTGTGAAAATTGCCAAAACTGGAATGTTCCCAAAATCAATTCACTTCATCAATAAGGGTTTTTTACTTGTAAAATGATCTCCTAAGATGGCCTACCTTTGATTTTCCATTTGTGAATTCAGATGCCTCAAAAGCTATTTCATTAAAGCATTCAATTTTTGACAGAGCACTTTGTCCTAGGATTTAGTGGCAATTCCAAGATGCTCTGATGATTTTTTTTCTTTTTTTCTTTTTTTCTTTTTCTGTGTTAATGAATCTCAAGGGAACTAACATATGGGAAACCAGATGAATAGAAACTATATTGGGTTTGTCCTTAATCACTTTCCTGGCTGGGAGGTTGCTGTTATAAATTTTTATGTCAAAGTGGAGCATAACACGTCATAACGTGAGTTTGCTTCTTGACAGTAATGCAATTTCGTACAAAAATTACTAGAAGTTTAGATCAACGGGAACCACTTTTAGAACCTTGTGATTTGTCAGAGGATGCATGTCTCTGGTATGAACATTCTTTGTGCCCTGAGTTGTTTCCCTTAACTTATGGATTGGATCTTATTTGTTTAATATGAGTTGTGTATTTGTCTCCTACCTTTACCAAAATCCAAATTCTGTAGTGATTGGACATCGTTTAGATGTGTCTAATGTTCGGCCAAGGATCAATGAGCATATGGATCTTGATGTTTTGGATTTTTTGTTATGGAATAATATTGGTGTACTTTCAACAAGCTAGTGTCACATTTATCTGAAACACTGTTTTGGTTTGGCAGTGGCTTCATTTACTTTTATTATTCTTCTGCAGTGGTAGCAATGATCACACTACGAAGTTTTGGTGCAGAAATAGGCCAGGAGATACTGGTCATGATAAATCTAACACCGGCCAAAATCAAGGTAGTACTTTGCCACCCCAAAATCAAAATGGTAAACTATATAGCCCATTATCTTATCAAATAGAAGTCATATTTTAAGCATTTTACATTTGACTTGTGCAACACCAAGCATGACTCAACATTTCCCTTTAAGGGTTTATATTTTTATTTAAAAAATAACTAATGTTGTCAGCGTTTAGGATACTTGTTTTCAAGTTTGGGTGTGTCATGGTCTTGATACTCGATATGCTACATACAGGGGTGATATTATAGAGCAAAATGCACATATAAGTGTGTGCGCACACAAAAACCCACCCACCCACACCCTGCATATGAATTTGTAGTTTAATTAAGGTATATGTGTGCTGAATTGATCAGCGCATCATGTTATTTTTATTTCTCTCAGGTTATGGTGAGCAAAACCCTGCTTTTGGTGGTCGCATGACTGGTAATTTTCCAGTACCTGAAGGACCACCAACTCCTGGACCATTTGTTCCTGGGTTGACTCGAAATGAAGGAACTATTCCAGGTGTTGGAGTTGCTATGCCGTTATCTCTTGATGCATCAAATCAGGGGGAGCAACAGCAGCCTCATGCACTATCGATGGGGTTAGGTGCTCCTCCTCTCCCGCCTGGTCCACACCCCTCTCTTCTTGCTGCGACTCAGCAGCAGCAATATCAACAAAATCCTCAACAGATGCCACAACAGCAACAGCAACACCAACACCAAGGTCACCCGCAACAAATGCCCCCTATGCCTATGGCACCTCCAAATATGCCACATCTGCAGCCTCCATCCCATTTACCCTTGCTGCCGCATCCTCATTTACATCGACCGCCACCCCAAATGCCCCCACTTGGTATGCCATCTTCAGGGCCTGGATCTATGCCTTCATCTGTTCCTACCTCACATTCAATGCCAATGGTATGCCTTCTTTTTTCACAGAATTATTTATTACATTATTCACGTCTTATTTTTATAAATTGGAACCCCCTGGAATATTGTTTTATAAGTTAGATATTCTTACTTCAAGAAATAGTGAAGATTGCTTTCGGTTTTAGAACGATCCTTATTGACTATGTACTCCTGGAAAATCTCATAGTTGGTGGTAATTAACATTAGTTTGGTTCTTTAGGGAATTCAAGGTACAATGAATCAGATGGGTCACCCATTGCCACAAGGTCATTTTATGGGCATGAACCCAATGCACTCGGGATCTCTACCTACAAGCGGTGGAGGTTTTCCAAATGGTATGCCAAACATGCAGGGCCAAACAAATGCAAGTGGAGCTCAAATGTATCCTCAGGGTGGTGCCTTCAATCGGAGTCAGCCTGGGCAAATTCCCATGCATCCGGGGTATAATCCTTATCAGGTAAGACAATAATTTGTACCTCGGTGGTACAGAAATTTTCATAAATCTCAACATTAACTCGGGAAAAGCTAATTTGTCCTTGTCTTGCATACTGCAGTCTAGGGGTCAGTCTGGTATGCCCCAACCTCCACCAGGGCCACCACCGCACGGGCAAACACCTCAGTAGACCATTTTATATCGGCCTTGACTTCTTTAATCCTCCCGATCTCCTCTCTCCTCTCTCCTCTCTCACCACCCTCTCTTCGGGCCAGCTTGTTTACATGTAAATCCTGTCATTCGGCTTGGTAGGTTTTTACTTCAGCATAGAATTGAATCATTCGGATAGCTTTGGTCGAGCAAACAGAAATGTTGCACTTAGCGTTGTGCGTCTGCAGGTGGCTTTTCTAGTCTGCCATCAAATTCAAGGTTAACCCCGGACAGAGGGGAAGCTCCTCCTAAGCTGGAGTATGGATATACGTCTTCTGTTCGTTTTTTTGTTGATGTACTGCGGCCTAGAATCGACTCAATCGAGATTGCTTTGCTTGAGAACAAGAGATTTTATTTAAATTGTCTCATGCTCGTTTTGGCTTTTGTATTGTCATTTGTTTTCCTTGAATGAGAAATTTAGACCAGAAAATGAAATCAGTGGCCATGTTCTTCTAATCAGTAGAGATTTTTGTTTTCAGAAAATAGAAATTTGATTAAATACGAATAGAAATGTTTGCATCAGCAACTAAGATATTTAAAAGCCAAATAGGCTCAAAATGATGACATGTATGCTTCTCAACAATCTTTTCTTTCTTTTTATTTTACCAACTATAGGGGTGGAGGAATAAATTAATTCAAATTTGTTATTTACGAGATTTGAACCTAAAAAGAAGTTATTGAGTATGACTTCTTTACGCAATCTTGGAACGAATAAAGCGACACTAACCTTGAATCTTGTGCGAATCGTCGTATATCAAACATCAGGCATTCCAGAACCTCATGCATTTCAGTCTCTGCTCGAATTATTCTAATGAGGCTTATTTGTAAAGAAAACCCTTTTAACTTAATCATAATTTCGCTTTGCTCCCTTAAACTTAAAACGTTCCACTACCTCAATGTCCATTTCTCAAGTTACCCGTTTCCGTCAACTCCATAAAATAAAAGAGTTAAAAAGGACTAAAACTAAAGAAAAATAAACAGTTCTAAATAGACCAGAAGAAACCTTCCTCCACAGACATTACTGCTGCAATACTTTCACATAAAAAGTCGATGTTTAGTTTGCACCTCCATCCGCCAAATACTAGACCACACCTTCTCCCTTCCTTCCTAGCTAGCTCTCCACTGCAACTCAAAACATTTGCTATTTTATAACCAGACTTAACGGAGTAGAAAGATTCCGGACATAAAATAGGAGTGGTCCGGGCAATATTTGGCCTTAAGTGGCGGCGCTAAGAGAGATTCCGGACACTGTAGAATGTGCCATCCAAACTTTGGCAAGCATTTGCTATGTTGTGACCTTGCTCCAAGTACCCCAATGAACTCCTTTCTGAGTGCTTTTTTGTCCCTCCACCAAACCTTGATGGTAGTCTTTCTATTTCCTTGCATAGATTGACCGGCAGTTTCAAGCTTGACATTGCAGAATCGGGTAATGCCGAGGCCACAGCTTTCAGTAGAACCTCTTTACCCGCCGGAGATGAGAAATGTTCCGCCTAGCCATGAACCCTCACCTCCACCATTCCAGACATCGTCAGTACTTTCTTCTTTGAAGCACCGTCCGCCTGCAATCCAAGATGATCTTCATCACTTCCATCAATTGCTTCTTAGGTCTTTTTGTGTGCTCTCCCACATAGTCAGACTATTCGCCGAGATTTGAAAGCCATGTAGACAACCATCTTCCTTCCTCCTCCGCACATAATAAAAACAAGACTGGAGAGACTGGATCACCTTTTCTTAATCCCCGACTTGGTTGAATAAGTCCTGAAGGTTCCCATTGACCAGAATGCTGTGTGTCACATATGTAACACAGATTGGGGGGGAAGAGAGAGAGAAAGAGAAAGAGAAAGAAATACAGTTCACATCCTAGATTTTTAAACGACATGTATCGACTAGTAAGAAATTGAAGTGAATGGATCTTTTGCATTGATGAGCACAGAATTATAATCAATTTACACAAAACCACTAGTGAGAGTAGATCCCAGAATTTCAAAATTTTGAAGCATCTTCGGTTGCTCCTCTTCAAACAAGGTTTCAAGTATGTCACATTCCGATATTTCCAGATTATCGAGAGAGGGGAGATTGTTAAGTCTGTTGGGTAGGAACTTGAGATTTGGCAGTCGCTGAAGCTGAAGAGAGGATAAACTGATAGGCAACAGCCAATCCTCTGGGAATGATACCAGTCCTTGACAACCACCAAAGGTGAGGTTGGTGAGACAAGTGAGTCTGTGCAGCCCCCACTCGAACGAAGGCTTGAAGTTTTCACAATCCATGATCGACAACGAAGATAGATTGGTTGGCAATCCACCCTCTGGAAATGAGACGAGACTAGAGCAACTTTCGATGCATAGTTCTTGAAGAGATGTGAGGCCGTGCATACGTTTTGGTAGAGACTTGAGGTTTCTACAATCGGAAACTTTAATAGCTTTCAGCATGGAGGTTGGCAGGCCAAATTCCGTGATAGACTCGACAAGTGGACACTCAGTAATTTCCAAATTATTGAGATGTATAAGGTTGTGCAGGCCTTCAGGTAAGAACTGGAGGTTGGCGCAGTCGTTGATGATGAGCTGTTTAAGGTTCATGACTAGGCTGGATGTTGCTGCAGGGAGACCAAAAGTACCTCTCGGAAAGGATGTAACAGAAGGACACCCGGAAATCTTAAGAAATTCAAGAGAACTATTATTGTGAATCATGTCCTTTGGAAGGGATTCCAAATTTTTGCAGTTTTGGATTTCAAGTTCTTTGAGTGTGCTGGGAAGCTTACCTTTTGGAAACGACTTCAGAGAAGAACAGCCTTCAATTACCAAGTACTCGAGCGGAAAACACAAGTCATTGCTGTTCTGCATCTTCCATTCTGGTAGGAGTTGGAGAGCATCACAACCCTTGATCTCAAGGCCTCTAAGCGTGGAAGGAAAACCTGTTTCCGGAAAGCATACAAGTGAAGGACATCTCCAAACTTTAAACTCCTTAAGAGATGAGAGTCGGTGCAAGCATTGTGGCAACTCCTGTAAGAATGGACATCCTGAAATTTCCAAGCGTTGGAGGTGCATAAGATTTTGCAATCCAATCTCATTAGACAAAGTGACAACCTCGCTGAGATGCACAATCTTCAAGTCTTCAAGAGCTGTCAAGTGTTGTAGAAACCCTTCAAGTAGACGTGTCAGCCCGGGAATTTGATGCAAATGCAAGTAGGTCAGCGAGGAAAGTCCGACTATACTTTGTAGTATCCCCTCATTGCACTTTTTAAGTTCCAACTCCCTGATCAAAGGGAGCTTGGGCAGCTCTGTTAGTTCTTGACATCCATTTATCTCAAGGACTTGCAGAGACGGAAAGATGCTAGGTAATTCATTTAGGTTGGGACATGTCCATATAGAAAGCTCAAGGAGGTTAGGGAATTCTCCGCGTTGCTCTAAACGATTATCTGTCTTTGAAAGGCTTGGAAGAGCAATCAATTCCTCACACCACTTAATTCTCATTTTTCTCAAGGCTGAGAAGTTGTGAGAGAACTTTTTGAGCTTTGGACAGTTTAGAATTTCAATCTTTTTCAGGCAACAGAAATCTTCCCGTCCTTCAACCCCAGAAGAAGACCACTCCTCCCAGTTTATCATGTAGTCAAATTTTAGGGTTTCCAAAGACGGAAATGGAAGGACAGATGAATGGTAATCCCCATAGAACTCAGCGCCTATACTTGTTATGCCCTCCATCCCTTCAACAATGAGGTCTTTTAGTGAAGGAAGTTGTCCGAGTGCCGGCAGTCGTGTACACTTCCTGCAGTTGATGAGCTTTAAATATAGAATATTGGAGAACAATGGGGACGCAACCCAACGAGGGAATTTTGTGCCTCCATAGTCTTCAATCGTAACTTTTTTTAGATTTTTATGAGGTTGCAGCATCTCGAATACAACCATCTCAGTTCTTTCATTTCTTGAACCATCCATACTGTTTCTCCTTTTCAACCTTAACTCATTGGCCTCTTGTTCATAAGCATCCATGGTTTCCTTAAAACTCGGAAATCTCGTAACACTATGACCTCTGATGTTGAGATCGTCTAGGATTCTGTGAACTTGTGGCATGTCAGAAACATCCTCTTCATCTGTATCAGCGAGTGAATCATCAGAACTGTCACTCCATTGGAACACCAAGTGATCAAGTCCTTCCTTTCCCTTCAGATTAGCCTCCATTGCATCTACAAAATTCACAACATTCTGCAGTCCTGAAATGATAAGGGATCCCTTAAGTTGCAGCATGTCGCTCAAGTCTTTAATTCCACAACCATTCTCCCTACCTACCATAAAATTAGACAAGGATTGGAGATTCTTCAGTCTACACATTTGCAGTGGCATCTCCTTTAATCTGCTTCCGTCAATATGAAGATGGCGTAGGCTTGTCAGGTTCCCCATTTCTGCTGGCAACTTAGTGAGAGAGCGACATTCTACTAATAACAATGTTTGTAAATTGCAAAGCATACTCATAGAATCAGGCAACCTTTTAATTGCAGTGCGAGAGAGGTCCAGATAGCGTAGATGCTTTAAATTGCCTATTGTATCTGGCAATTCAGTAATACGACAAGCATTGAAAGATAGCACCCGTAGATATCGCAACTTCGGAAGTAGATCACGAGGGACTTTGTTAGCCAAATAGCTAAATCCAGTTCCGTCTGTTGGATCCAAATCATCCAATGGAAGGAAGGTGCGTAAGCACTCAAGTCTGCTGAAGGAGTCAAACCTTGTAGTTAACTCGCGCTGACGGCGAATATATGAAGAATGACGAGCCTTCTCATATGCTTTATATTGATTGCTGTCGTCGACTTTATCCTCCAATCTGAAACAGAACTCTCCAGAAACAAATTGAGCTAGCTCTTTCATGAGGTTGTGCATTATAAATCTTGATCTATTGTGAAGTGATTGTTGAAAGAATGATCTGGATACCAGCTCCTGAAAATACTCACCACCAACATCTTCCAAAGTTTTATTTCCTTTTGGTTGCTCAAGCAAACCTTCAGCCATCCACAACAGAACAAGTGAATCTTTGTCAAATTCAAATTCCGTAGGGAACAAGGAACAGTATGCGAAACACGGCTTCAAATGTGCAGGAAGGTGATGGTAGCTTAATCTTAAAGTCTGAAGGATGTTACTTTCATCATCTGGTAGATCCCAAATTTTCCTACTCAACATATCTTTCCATTCATCTTCTTCCATTCTAGAGTGCAATAGGATTCCAAATCTTTTCACTGCCAAGGGCAAACCATCACACCTGTTGACAATCTCCTTACCAATGGCTTCGAGATTAGCATCAATGGTTCGATTCTCAAATGCCTGGCTCTTGAACAATAACCAAGAATCTTCAAATGACAAACCTCTCAAGTGATAAGCTGGAACCGTACCCATGCTTGATGCAACATCGCTGTTTTGCGTTGTTACAATTATCTTGCTTCCGCTTCTCCCTGCTCTGAACGGAATCCACGAGAGATCCCAATCATCATTCCTCTTGTTCCAAACATCATCCAAAACAATCAAGAATCTCTTACCAGCCAATTTTTCTTTCAAACAAACTTGAAGTAGATTCAAGTCATCAAGATCAACATTCTGCATATTGACCGACTCGAGAATTGTTTTCGTCACCCTCACTGCATCAAAATGATCAGACACAAACATCCAAATTTTTAAATCGAAATGCTTGTCCACTCTTTCATCATTGTAAATCAGTTGTGCAAGAGTCGTCTTTCCAATTCCAGCCATGCCAATGACAGGAACTACACCAACCTTACTACTAGTTGGTTCATCACATAACAAAACTCGAATTATCTCCTCTTTGTCACAGCTCCTGCCGTAAACACATGATTCGTCTACCAACGAAGTTGTTGGTGATCTATGTCTAAAGGCTAGAACATTGTCTTTCAACCCTAGAACATTTTTATATTGGGCAATCAATTCCAACCTCTCAATTATCTTTAACAACTTATGTTCGATCCCTCTACTAGATGGACTGAGAGAAGTAGAAATACGGTTCCAATTCCATACCTGTTTAGTGGTGGCCGGAGATTCAGCTGCCGCCTTACAAGCCAAGGCTTCGCTAGCGAGATCATCTAGTAAGTCCTCGGCATCATAGAGCGCATTTTTAGTCATGTGCAACCACTTCTTCACAGCAACTTTGTAAAACTGCTTCTCCTCAGCATCATTAAGCAGCGTCGTAACAGTCAGAAGAGTGACCTTCAACTTGTCCAGCAAATCATCGTACTTCCTCCCACACAGTAAACCTACAACCTCATTGGAAGCCAATCTGTCAAACAGAACTTGAAGAAAGGCAGAAAGAAAGGCCTCTCCGATAGCCATTGTTCCTTTTCCAGGTAAGAAAAGTGAAGAGAAACAAAAAGCACTTCTAGAGGTTGATTTCTAACAGTGAATACTTTTGGCTTATGCTTATGCAACTTCATAAGAAATGCTTCTTCTTTTTTTAACTTCCTGGAAGTTGCGTTTGCAGCTGCCAGGCCAGGCCAAGTCAATACAATACTTTTATGTCCTGATGTTTTTTCTAGGTGGTCAAGTCTGCCGGCAAAGAGTCAATACAACACAAATTGTTACAGGGTCATTAAATTAAATTCCCAGAGTATCCCTATTTCTTTGATTTATTTCCCTCTTAACGTTCATCATCCTATCCGTTTGCAGCTGTCTTTTTCTCTTCTAGTGGGGCATGCCAAACACTAATGGAAGCAGATGTGCAATTAAAAGAACTGGTAAAGAGTTAGGAAGTGTGATCGTAATCAAATGGACGCAGTCAGATTGTAACATTCTGTGTATAACGATATTTACTGTATAAATGAACATACTATATCGTAACGAATGAGTTTCTCTTGGCATCCTTTACATTTCTAGTGATTTTCTATTATTTGAATTTCGAAAGTTAACTGTACCGAAGATTTTGTGTTTGTAGTCGACGATCAAATTTACAGTGATATGAAACTTTCCGATGACATTTTGATGGGGGGTTGAGTTCTAATGGATAGAGTCACCCTGCATGGATTGATTTTTAATGTTTGTAGTTTGACTCCATTAACGCTTCATGTTTTAATTTGACGAGCACAAAACTGGGGTTTGACATTACCATAACACACTGGCAAACCATCACACCTTATTGTTCTTTGTACACGAATTACAAAGATTACATATAGAGAATCACAATTTGTTCAAGAAAAAAAAATCAAATTAACCCAGAGAATTAAATTTGGTCAAAAAATTCAAATATTAATAATTTCTTTATGATAACGGGAATATGAACAGTGGTTTTCCAGAAAAATAATGAGTTTAAGAAGAAATTTAAAAAAGAAAATTAATGAAAAAGAACTTCAAATCTTTGCATTTTATTTAAAAAAAAATCATCAACTAACTTTATTTAATGATTATTGACAAAGGCGAATTTGAATTACATTATTACTAGCCCGTTATAAGGCTAAACTCACCCTCCTCCCCTTAGTATAGATAATATCGATTGATCAAATAAAAAATCATTTACCTAACTTCCACCCACCTCCCCCTGACCTCCCCCCGTCCTCCTTGTCACATCACAGTTCATATAGTAAGATATATATTGTCCGCTTTGGGTCACGCCTTCACAGATTTGTTCTTGGGCTTCCACCCAAAACGTGTCTCACTATAGAGAGGTGTGCATGTACATATAAAACACATCACCTCCTCTCCCCCGGGCGATGTGGGATCTTACACTCCTTTCCACTCTCTTTTTTTCCGTTGTCTTAAGAGTTTGTTTGTTTGTTTTTTTTTTTTTTTTCCTTTTTAGAATATGAGAAAGACTTCAAATTGATTACATTTCCTAGTTTTATTTTTTGATGTGGTGTTTCCCAATAGTAATCAAGATGACGAGAGATTTTTTCAATGTGCTCAGAACACGGGATGGTACACCACGTGTCTCCAAAATGACACCCAAGCTAAAGAAATTGGATGGAGAGCTACATTTAATTATTGTAGGTATGTAAAAAATGTGAGGGAATTTTAATTTGGTAATTGAAAACAATTTTTCAAATATAATTACTGAAGACATAATCTTCTCGAGATTTTGATCTAAAGGATCACTTACGGGTTCATCTTTTAGGCACAATGGGTGCTTTTACAGGACCAAAAATGGTCTAAATTTCAAACCTTATGAAACTGAACTAAAAATTAGACACTATTTATAAAACTTGACCAATAAGTAGACACTATTTATTAAACTTGACCAACAAGTAGACACTATTTATGAAACTAGACCAATAAGTAGAACTATTTATGAAACGAAACCAAAGAATTAGGCACCATTTCTAAAACTAAATCAATAGGTGGAAACTATTTATGAAACTAGACTATACACTATTTATGAAATTGGACCAAGAATTAGAAGCTATTTATGAAACACGACCAAGGACTAGGCATTATTTATGAAAGTTGAGCAATGACTAGACACTATTTATGAAACCAGACCAAAAAATAGACATTATTTATGAAAATGTACCAATTATTATACACTATTTATGAAACTTGACCCAATAATTAGACACTATTTATGAAACATGACCAAGAACTAGGCACTATATATGAAACTGGGCCAATAAATAGTGTAGTACCATTCAATTTTGTAAATAGTGCTTCAGTTTCATAAATAGTGTTCAGTTTCATAAACAGTGTCTTTGATGGACGCACAAGTCTCACGCTTCAGGTCTTTTTTTATAATTTTTTTTATATTAAAATTGTTTCATTTTCATTAAAAATTAAGTTCTTTTATACTCTTTTATTGAAATATAAGGGTTTTTCATTAATATTTAATTTTTTTTTATTTAATAAAATTATAACATGATTTTTGGTTAAAATAAACTTAACCCAAACCCTTTTCACGAAAGCTTCCAATTCAAAATCCCAAAATCAAAAACCCTACCAACAATCTAAACACCAATATATATATATATGAATTTTCATAATGCATTTGGAAGTGGATTTACTATTTATTGAGCAACAAGCTATCATATTCTTGTTCTTCAAAATATATACTTCCGTGCGTGGAGCCCGACTCGTCTTCTGAGCACGTGGGAGTTCGCCTCATCCTGCGTGCACGGAGCCCACCTTGTCTTGTATGTCTCAGTATCCCTCTCTTCCTCTTTTTACTTGCAATCCTTTTGTCTATTTATAACAAAAAGGCTTCTTCTTTTTTTTTTGGTCGAAACCAAAAGGCTTCTTGGGTCTTTGAAAATGGCAAATCCTAAAATTTATCCACACATTTGGAACCAAAATGCAGGGACTGTTGTGGCTTATTTTAATCTGACATGGGAGAGAGGGGGCACAACAGAGAGACTAGAGAGAGATGTATTTGTAGGGTTGTGTAGATAATGTTATTCCCTACCCAGTATCTTTATTTATAGTAATAAGGGAGGGAATAATCATTCTCGTCCAAGGAATACAAGTCCTAATAAGGAAAAATAACTATTTTTAAATCTAATATAGAATTTACACAATCACACTTAAATACAATGTTTATAACAGGGACCAAATTTTTCTTTAATTGATCTAGACTTTTTATTTTATTTTTATTTTTTAATAAACGATATTATCTGCACTAAGAAGGACCTTACAATAACTAGCAATAATGTAGTCCAAATTCGTTTTTTACAAGGTGATAGTACTAATTGGCAATTCATCTAAAGTTAAAATCTTCTTCTTTAATTTACTGTGTTTCAAATTTAAATTATCTATCCTTCGTTTTAATTTAATTTAAAATATAATGTCGATTGTTTTTTATTATTAAATGGATACATATAATAAAAATTTGGTGCCAATAAAAGGCAAAAAAATATAATAATAAATAAAATAAAAAAAGAGTAACCACAGCGCAGCACGGAGTCGTAAGTGCCAAGTAAAAATCGAAACCACGTGCGATTTTATTTTCTGGGAGTAAAAAGTCCGCCAAGTAACTGAACAAACCTCCAAAGCGGGCCCCCAGGAAAACCAAAACCAAACCTCCGCCCGCAGCTCCAGTCCCTCATCAAATCATCGCATCCCCCTCCTCTTCGTGTCCTAATTCCCTTCCAATTCGAAGTTCAAAACCCTAATTTATCACTCAATGTCCCCTTAATTCCATGCCCTAATCCTCTTTTTTATTTTTTTTTCTCACTGCGATCCCCAATTCAGTTCCATGGAGGACGATACGTCGTCCTTCTCCGACCACAAGCTCTGCGGCTTCCTCTACGCCGTTCTCACTGTCACTTCCTCCCCGGACCACCGCCAAATCCCACCCTTCGGCACCCGCTTCCGAATTTCCCAATGCGACGTCAATTTCACTTCCCAAAACGGCGTCGTCCTTACCCCCGTTGACCCAGTTCCCAGCGCCGATGTCTCGGCTGAGGAGCCCAAGCAATGCGAGGTTCCGGTGCGGGAATTTGGGAGGAAGAGGAAGGTCCCGGTGGTGGCTGGGAGGAAGATTGGGATGAGGAGGAGCAGGAGGAGCATAGGGCTGGTGCACGGGAGCATTAGCGTGGTGCACCAGCTCCACGCATTGGTTGTGAACAAGTGCTTGAGGATCGATGCTCGATTGGTTCGGGTAGAGGCCGGAGACAGTGGAGAGGTCAGGGCTGTGGTGCTGGTCGATGTCTATCTCCCTATTGCAATGCTGGCTGGTTGGCAGTTCCCGAGATCAGGCTCCGTTGCCGGAGCTCTGTTTCGACATTTGAGGTAAATGTGTATATCCATTAGGTTTCAATTAGCTATTTCCCAATTGTTAAACCGAAGAGGGAGAGGGCTGAGAACTGAGAAGGGTAGAAATGAACATTATCGTATCAAGTTCTACATTTTCGTTTGGTAGTAATGTCATCTGCTGGTATAGAAATCGCTTGCATTTCTACAATGTAGGTTCTGGTTCCAACGCTATGCAGCGAATATTTTGACTTTTTATACGCAGCATGATTACACACATCTTTGTGGATTCATATGCACCCTCTCATGCTTCTTTCAACAAAACTATCACTTGTAAATAAAAAGCATATACATGTCATCATTCTTTTTTAAAGATTTCCACTTTTCTGTTCTCCGGTTTCTATGTTTTGTCTTTTCTGATATTTAGATGCTGGTACAGAACACTGGCTGGTATGTGTAGAATTAAAAAATTTCATGTTATGCCTTGTTATG